ACATAAGGATGATTTACAAAAATACATGCTTGACATCATCTTTTATTAAAGCTTCTGGAACACTGGTTTAGTGTACTTGGTAAATGCTTTCATAGTTGTGATGTTTTTCCATATATTTTTTCCGTTGATAGAACTTAACCCTGAATATTGGCTGCATTAACTCAAATATTCACATACAAAGGATATTTGATTACAATTTCTGTACAATACTTGGAAAAATGTTTATCTAATGCTCTTGTCATTATTTCAAGTTATGTCTGGCACCTCAAGGGCCCCCACTAGGGAGCCCATATTGCCATCATCCTCATCCTCACTGATGAAGACAACTGTGTAATATAGGTCAATGTAGCGCTGAGTAGGGCTGCACGATAAATCGCATGCGATATTTAACGCGCATCTTGTCAGTAAAGCCGGTTCTGTAATCAGTGGTAAATCTCCATTACCTGCGGGCTCAAAACCACGTTCATATTCGCGTGATTTTTTGCGCAGCTCGTCAGTGAACAACGGCTCTGTGTAGTTAATGCTGCTCAATGTGAAAGCCCACAGGTGGAGATTTACCGCTGATTACAGAACCGGCTTTACTGATAAGATGCGCGTTAATTATCGCATGCGATTTATCGTGCAGCCCTAGCGCTGAGTCCAAGACCCTCCTGTTCTCATAGTGTCAATTCAGATTCACCATGACCGCAAGAGATATGTCGATGCTCATACACTCTTATGCTGAATTATAAAGGTCACATGAACACAGACACGCATTTCCAGACATGAATGCAGTCATCCATAAATCCAGGGTAGACATGTTCTGACTAAAGCAACTCAACACACCTGCACATTGACCGACACGTTGACTCACATGGACACAAAGCAATTGGTATCAAGCTCAGACAGGCCACAGACCACCCACTGTCCATTCACTGACTGTCTGATGAATATTAAACACAAAAATGATGAGCTGCCTGAAATTGCCAGTTCTAGTCAGATTGGCTGGAAACAAAGTTACTGCTCCTGCAAAGTCTGGTCCTGCAATGTACACATGCTCATTACACAGTGTTTGTACATATGACATGTACACTAATCTTACTGACTCCAAACTTTGGATGGTTGTGTGTATATATGTGGCCCTGGTCGTTGTTACTTCAGTAAGTAGTTAGAATTAAATTGTGTTCCCATGTGTCTGAGTTGCTGACAGCACTGTTTGATTTAGGATTATTTAAAGAACAACTGGGAGCTCATACACAACAAGTGTACACTGAAAGTAGAGTATTATGCATGTAAATGACATATTTTAACAATATACAACAACTTATCTTTCTGGCTGTAGTAAGTGTAAAAGTTTAGGATCTGGGCTGGAAGATGCGAAATGTCACAGGTTCATTTCAAAATCACACAAGGTCCCCAGATAATACTAATCCCGTGTGAATAGGGCTATAGATAGCTAAATTATTGTTTGAATAATTACTCTATTATTTTTTTTTTTTTTTTACAGAGCAGCTATTCATTCACAAGTGAGAAATGTGCAGCTTAAAAATTACACATGAAAATGAAATTGCACCACAAACCTTTGACTTGAAACCATGATCAAAGGCACTTCCTAATAATAAATCATATAGAAATCTCCTTGTTCTCTCATTTCTGTGCTGTTCTGCCTTTTAACTTCTGTTCTAGTTTCTGTACTACTCTATAGCTTGCTCTTGAAATTTGTGTGGTACATCACCTATTGTTGGCATTTACTGTTATTGCTTGTGTGATGTTCCTCATTTGTAAGTCGCTTTGGATAAAAGCATCTGCTAAATGACTTCATATAAATTTGATCATACTCGTAAACATTAAAAAATAATCTGTATCAGTCATAATCTGTATCAGTCTCTAGTGAGGTACTTAACCCCTTTACCCAGGGGTCTGTGCTTCTAATAAGTAAGTTGCTTTGGATAAAAGCATCAGCTAAATGACCATTAATTGGTTGTCTGTGCTTGTAGACTCGGTTTAAATAACCAGCTCAGTGGATTAAATTAATCTCTAGTTGATTGTGAGAACCTTTTTGGTTATATTTAGTTTGTATTCCCTGTTTTTTGCTCGACTTTTACTCTTTTTATATTTTTCCTTGTCTCTCTGAGTGACTAGTAGCACATGGTGCCCACATGTTGTGCCTTGCATTCTTTGTCTTGGTGTCCACACACACATACACTATTTCACATTCCATCCCCTAACAGCCAGCTCTAGTGGTTCTTACAGCTCATTCGCTCCTGGTTACTCATGCACCCTTTAGTTGTATGTGCACTACATAGACACGAATTGAAGGTTTGTTAATTCAATACAGCAATTAAAGCTTCCATTCACATGTGACGGTGCCATGGCAATATCAGTGTGCCTGAATGAACTGAAGTGTGTGTGCTTGTGTTAGAGAGAGAGAGAGAGAGAGAGAGAGAGAGAGAGATTTGGGCAAGGGGTAGTCGGGCAGGTGCAATGACAGCTGGTCTGGGCAGCTCAAACCAAGGGGGAACAAAAGAGTGCTGAAAAGATGAAGTACTGATAGTAGCATTGAGCACAAGAAAAGGGAGAGAGAGTTTGAATGGAAAAAAAGCATCAGCTCTAGAAATAGGCCTGTTTTTGCAAGTGCCTTTTGGTTTTCCATTGTGAAGCAATGGGCAGTTTTATGTTCCTCGCTTCAGTGCTTGTTTCTCTTGACAGACAATATTTTAATATGCCGTATGAGTCACTGCAGCAAAACCACAATGAGCTTATGAGTGTTCATAAGGCTTGTGAGTGTGTGTGTCCGGAAGAGGAAGATAAAGTGTGTTTTGGAAAAGGCTCTGATTGAAGGGGAGAGGGAACGTGAGAGAGAAAAGGGGGGTGGGGGTGGTACAAGTCTTGTGAAGACCATTTATAGCTTTGTGGAGAGAGAGACATATTAACTAGTCTTTACTGAAAGAGACAACTTTATAGAAAGAAACCAAATTTGGAGGCCTAAGGAACGAGACGAGAAAAATACAGCAGCGTATAATTGAGGTTTGGAGCCTCCACTGGCACAGTTGGATTTTTACTCTTGAAAACAGACCTAAACTCACATAGGGAGATAGTGTTTGAATTTGAATTTAAATCAGGGTTTTGATTTGAATTAGAGCTATTAGGAAAGTTGGTCGTGAGAAAGAGGGAGACAAAGGCGTCTGACTTCAGAAAGAGAAGCAGACAGATCTGTTTCATGGCCAGTGCCCTGCCAACAGCCCAAGGCCAAATATGTGAACTGGACTGATAAAAATAGCCAAACACGGCAGTAAAACAAACATGCGTATCTGAATCTGTGCAAAATCACATTTGGTCCCAGAAATTTTGTTGCTAGATCACTGTATTCAATTTCTCTTCTCTTTTTCAGCCTTGATGTTCTGTCATGCTCATGATTAGATGAAGCTAGAACTTCCCAGCTTGGATGTGTAAAGTTGGATGTATCATCATCACATCTTTAACATATTTAATCAATTAATGTCAGTTAAGATTATTAGAGTCAATTAATGACATCCTCATCATCAAACAGTAGATTTATTTTAAGATGGATGGGCAAACATCAGGATTAATAGCAACATCAGACTAGATGTAAACAGCATGCTTGGACAAGTCGATATGGAAATACATATTTTAGTCAACTTTAATTCCAATTTTAATCCTTAGTTTAGAATGGGGGAACATTTGTTTGTAATATTGCTACCAAATCAGACCCAAAACAACAAATGTAGACAAATGTTCAAAGGTTTGGGATCAGTAATTTTTTTTTTTTTTTAAGAAATGAATACTTTAATTCAAGGTTGTATTAAACTGATTAAAAGTGACAGTAAAGACATTAGTTACAAAAGATTGCACTTTCAAATAAATACTGTTATTTTAAACTTTCCATTTACAGAAGAATACTGGGGAAAAAAAAAAGTTTCTACAAAAATATTAAGCAGCACAGCTGTTTTCAACATTGATAATAATGAGAAGTCTTATTTGAGTTCAAATCAGCATATTAGAATGATTTCTGAAGGATCATGTGACACTGAAGACTGTAGTAATGATGCTGAAAATTCAATATTTCCACCACAGTAATCAATTACATTTTAAAATATGCTAAAATGTTAAATTGCATTAGTATTTCACAATGCTATTGTTCTTACTGTATCTTTTATCAAATAAATGCAGACATGGTGAGCGTAATAGAGCTCTCTCAAAAACATTCAAAAAAATCTTTCTGACCGGACCCAAGCTTTTAAACAGAAGTGTTTGTATTAGATAAGCTTCACATGTTGTATGCTTTTTGTTTGTAAAAAAATTAACACCCAAATAAATAAATTACACAAGCTAGACATGAAGCACGGATCTTATTTTTACATTTACATTTAATCATTTAGCAGACGCTTTTATCTTGACACACTCCAGTGACTAACATAACCATCATTCCCCTAAATGGTGAGATTCATAAATTCCACTGAAGTGAATGATTAAGTGGGAAGTAAAGCAAATTGAAACGCATCTTAATAAAAAATTTTTTTAAAAAACCTTCTTTGTTTCTTCGAGAATTTTCTTCTCTTTGTGCTGATCTGCAAACAAAATGGATAACTTTATTTTGTGTGATGTATGGTTGAGGCCAAAGGTTGACTTTTAACTGTTTGTGTGACACAAGAGATACCCCTAGTGGTAAAAGGGCAGCATTTCACTGACCTTCATCAACCCTGTTGGGGACTTAACAAGGAACTGCTATATTTCTGCCTTAAAGACAGATCCCCACTCTTAACTCAAACACACTTACACACACAAACATTACAGAATCATCTGTGCAACCAGCGTCATTGCTACTCTTTCTTCACTGGGTTTCTTTTCCCTCCATGAATACAGCAGAATTTCTTAGAGCTGTAGGGCATTTCTGAGAATAGTTGTGTAATTTCCAGTTAGCTGTTTCTTCTTGGGGGTATTTGAATATAGACGTATCCTTGATGCAAACAGATAATTTCCTTTTACTTCATGTGTCACAGGAGGAGGCGATTCCAGAGCTGGAGATTGATGTGGATGAACTGTTGGACATGGAGAATGATGTAGACCGTGCCGCAAGGGTCAAGGTATCCTTCTCAAGAATTGCAGATTCAGTATTGTATTACAATTTCTATTACATCTTCAGTTTTTAGCAGATTTTTACATTTGAATTACATTATTTTTCTCTTATTGTCCAACAGGAACTGCTGGTAGACTGTTATAAACCTACTGAAGTGAGTACATTATCTCATATCTAAGAGCAGGCAAATTATGCACATATTGGTAGCAGAATTAAATTAGACAAATCTATTTCAATTTTACTCATTTAAACAACATTAAGCATGGAATAATTGACGACGGGCCATTGAATTATTAGAAAATAACGCACACCTGAGGTGGTGATGCAGCCACGATGTGAAGCAATGCGAAGTTACACCTCAGGGTGTGCATTACTTTCTAATAGGGATGCACCGATACAGATACTGGTATCGGTATCGGGCCCGATACTGGTCTCCTGTACTCGTACTCATTAAAATGCCCCGATACCAAACGCCGATACCACACAGCATGTGATAAGCGCCATATTCAAACAAAGAAACACCAACAACAGAACAACAGACAGCAGAATGGAGTTAAGGATGTCTACTACGAAGTATATCTATGCAATGAATATAATGTTAAACAATCAGTATTAACGCCTGTATAGCTGATGTGTGCGAGCTGATAAACAAAGCACGCTGAGTGGATTGAGTGCGCGGCGGCGCAGATGCGCGAGCTTGTCGAGTGAATATATCTTTCTCACAGACATCACTGGAAAGCTTGTAGTTCGGTCGGATATGTCAAAAACAAGTAAGTAAAACAATGCACAAGTTACTTAACGGTATGGAGAGAGAGAGAGAGAGAGAGAGAGAGAGCGTGCACTTCTGTTATGTGATCTTTGATGTTCACTCACTTAGCACGCATCATTTGGATTAAAA